TCAAACCTATAATCAAGTATTTATAAATATGTCACATTTAAAATACTAATAATGTACCATCGGAGGAGGAATAATTAGTATATGATGTTAGATTTCTTTATTAAGTATCTGGATGTTGTAAAACTTTATTTATTTAACAAATTATGTGCTTAAGTATTGATTTTTTTTCAACATTTTTGTCAAACTATGCGGTGTTTATTTGTCCTCCCGATTTGAAATTTTTGGCTCCCCACTGCTACTCGTCATACTTTATTTTCGCGAAATAATATTGTACCTAGTTTTTGTGGTCTTTGTTCTAATCACATTTTGAATCCCAGGATCATCTTATATTCTCTTGTCCATTTTCTTTGGGACTTTTTCTTCTGTCTTTCAGTGGCTTGGTCGCATACCGCCGATTAATCAGATCCATGATTTATTTCACTCCCTTAAGTCCACTTCGCCTAGTTTCCTTGCAAAGATAGCTATCTTATTTTGGAGTATTTGGAAACATCGTAACGTAGTTATTTTTAAAAACTCTTCCGCCAATATTCATAGTATATTCACCGAGCTTTCTCTATGTTTAAGGAATGGGAGTCTCGTTCTCTTCTTGACGCCATACACTTTCCTACTATGCCACCTCCACTGCCGCCTCCTCCTATCCCCTCCCCTTTTGTCTCGTGGTCTCCTCCATCCCCCACTCGGTTTTGTAAACTTAATTTTGATGGTTCTAGCAATCAGGATTCTACTACTGCAAGTGTTGTCATTCGGGATCACCTGGAAAATCATGTGGCCAGCCGAACTTATAATTTAGGCTCTTGTCGTCCTTCATTGCCGAAGTTATTGCTCTTCAAAATGACCTCTTTCTTGCTAGGGGAATTTAATATTTCTGATATATTTATTGAAGGCGATAATCTAACTGTTATTAATATTTTGCAGGGGCATTTCAACTGTCCATGGAAACTTTAGCTTCTTATGGCGGATGTCAAGGCTATTTTGGATTATTTTTTGAGCTTTCAGGCAAGACACATCTATCGGGAAGGAAAGTGGGCAACAGACTATGTTGCCTCTCTCGGCTACTCTACTCCGACTCATCAAGATATAGAACCTTTTTTAGATAGCAAATTTTCTTGTATTTTACTCCTTGATAGTTTAGGTCACGGTCTTATGAGAAGACGTACCTAAATTCCTCATTGTATCTTACTTTTATAAAATAAATAAATAAATAAAATAAGATAAAAATAATTACTTTAATACTTGTATACTAGAATTTAATTTGGATGAATTTCAATTAGTAAGCACATATAGTATTTAGTATTACATATTAACAACCGGGTATCTTCTCCAAATGAACAATGATTTCGTAATAATATATCAGTATATCACTAATATTATTTATTTATTACTCGTATCTTTTCTTTAAGTCAACAACTTCTTTTATAATTTCTTGGAAGAGGCTCCCTTGTTTTATACCTAAGCAAAACAAACATTGGGTGAAGGCAACATTAGCAGTTGGAGTTATTTTGATGATTAATCATGGACATGTCATCCAAGCCTGCTTGCAATTACAATTTGAGTACCATTGTATAACTGTATACAAGTATAAAACAATTGACATTTGACACTACCATTGAAGATAAAATAATATCGCATAGTTGACTCAATAGAGATTATCCCCTATGATCTACATATTCGAACATCAATATCACCTACGGAGTACTCGATCATTATAAAAAACTAGATTTAAGTCCGTGCTATGCACGGGTTTCTATTAATAATTAAATTAAACATTTAATAATATTCAATTGTAATAACAAAATATTAATACATAATATTACTATTTTTTTAATCTTATACAATTAAGGTTAACGCATATATAAACACGGTATATTTTGTAAATTGTTTGTTTAAACAACAATACAAACCAATTTTTGAAGAGAAATAGAAAGAAAATAAAATATGTGAAACTATATGTATTTGTTTAACCAACTTTTTTTCAAATTGTGAACACGGTGAAAATATAATCTTTCAGGCTTCCATTATTTTTTGTAAATCAATCGTTGATCGTGCCAGTTGATAAGTTGCATAATTAAACTCGCCCTCTTGCAAAATTAACATCCTTGCAAAATTAACACTTATGATTGAAGTGGCTTATTCATTATGATCATCGTTTATCGCGTGGGACAATAGATGAGTTTATATAGGATTTAAAAAATACTAGATTTAAAGTGGTGATAAAGTTTATTGTTAGATATGATAGATTTTGTTTACATATAACTTAATCTTTTAGATGAATAAATGATAAACATTTTTTTTTGTTTTTTTTGGCTAGAAAAGGAAAAAGGATATATTTTTAATTTAAATGAATTTTTTTTCTTATTTTTTGTATCTAATCCAAAACTGATAAATTTTTTTTTGAAAGAAAACTAATTTTTTTTTTTAATTAAACGTGATTTCATTTTTTTTATTAGTATTTTTTATAAAATATTTTATTATAATTCATAATTTCATTATTTTCTTTTATCAAATCCAATTTTTTTTTAAATATCAATTAAATGTGAATTTCATCTTTTAAGTTTAATAATTTTTTTTTTCATATACGAAATAAAATAAATTGTTTCTTTTCTCTATGATAAAATTTTCAATTTTAAAAGATATTATTTTATTTTTAGTTAAAATTAAAACCTTTAATTTTAACTTACGTGACACTTTAAAATAATAATCCTTGCATAATCCTACTCGTAACGCTCTAAAAATACTAATCCTACCTGCGCTCTAATAATTTTTAAAAAATTAAAAACGTGGCTCTCTAAAATATTGGGAAAAAACTCCCATTTATATATATACGGGGAGGTTCCGCTGAAAACAGAGCTTATGGTGAAAACTAAAAACAAGTATTCTTAGCCATTGAATATTCACTAGATGATCTGATGTTGTGAAACAACCCAGAGGTCACTATATACAAAAATAAGGTAATTATATCAAGTTATATTAATTTTAATGACATTTACACCGAGGTCACTATATATAGAAATAATGTAACTATATCAATTTTTACAATATATACTTAGAGGTCACTATATATAAAAATAGGATAATTATATCAATTTTGACCACATTTATATAAAGGTCACTATATACAAAAATAAGGTAACTATACTAATTTCGACCACATTTACATAAATGTTACTATATACAAAAATAAGGTAACTTTATCAATTTTGATAACCCCATTGGAGGAGGAATCCAACGCCTTGGCCCGGTACGGGGGGCAGTACCTATATGTTGGGGAGGGTTCTACAGCTTTTCTCACTCCTCTGTCCACCGTAGCACACGAGCCTTTAAGACAGCAACTGGAGTTTCTTTCTCCTAGAAATTTTCACATTTCTATCTTGCCAAATCCTCCATTAAAATCTAAAAAGAACTTACATTAACATATTTTTGCTAATAGCAGTGGACTTATAGCAATGGAACAGCTACACTACAACAAAATAAGATCAATTTCCTTCCAAAATTGCAAACTTTCATCATATATCTCAAATCAGTACTACTGTAACACAATTTGGATATAGTGTACACCAATACTAGACAAATATGGGTTGTGACCCCTAAACTAAAGTTGGCGTTTCCTTATCTTGCTCAGTACCCTTGTCCTCATCGCTTTGGCTTCCAGCATAACCATTCTGTGACATCTTGAGCTCAGATGGAAGATTTTTCCTGGCTTTGCGGCTACCCTCGATCTTCCATTGATCCCACACCTTTGTTTTTGGAGGTGGGGCAGTATCTCCAATGGGTGCAACCAAACCTGGTGTTGGAAATCTCGCTCAATCGGTGAAGGCGATTCAACCCAATCCCACTCTCCGACGACCAATTACGGAAGTCAATCACATCTCTTCACCGATCTCATCTTCTTCGTTCACCCCTACCCCCGAACCAAACTTCGGTGATAAACCCATCCTCACAAACACCGATTGTAACCCCCACCATCCTAAATAAAAAAAATATAGCAAAATCGCAAATTAATCAAACAAAAAAAAGCAAAAACCCTAAATTGAACAGGAAATCGAACAAAATTGAACAAAATCGAACAGGAAATCGCAAAATCAAACAAAATCGAACAAAATTGATGAAAAAAAGTCAAAAAATTGATGAGCAAAAGTCGCAAAATCGCACTGGAAATCGAACAAAATTGATGAACAAAACACGCAAAATCGCACAAGAAATCGCACAAAATTGATGAACAATTTTAGAGAGAGAAGATGCGTGAAGGAGAAAGAAGTGAGGGAGTGTATGTCTAATACACGAAGTTACTAAACCCCAAAAAAATCAAATCGAAAAATCAATTTGGTATTTCCAAAAACACGTATATAATACCAAATTAAACAAAAATCATAAACGAAAACTCACTTTTTTGAAGCTATTGACGAAGATTGAACCAAATTCCTCTGTAATTTGATGATGTTCAACATTGATATTGAATTGGGAAGCAGAGAGAATGAAGAAGATGGTGAACGTAATATGGAGGAGAGAGAAAAATAGAGTAAAAAGTAGAGGAGTGGATGGATTTTCAGAAATCAAGGAACAAATCCCACGGTCAAGAATAACTATCACACGGATATAATCTCCTTCGTCAGATTAGAATTCAATGGTCTAGATTACTTATTTTTAGTTTTCAGCCTTAGACTTGTTTTCACATGATCCACTCCCTATATATATATATATAAACAGAGCTTACGGTGAAAACTAAAAACAAGCAATCTTAACCATTGAATGTTCACTAGATAATCTGATGGTGTAAAACAACCCAGAGGTCACTATATACAAAAATAAGGTAATTATATCAAGTTATATTAATTTTGATGACATTTACACCGAGGTCACTATATATAGAAATAAGGTAACTATATCAATTTTTACAATATTTAATTAGATGTCACTATATACAAAAATAGGGTAATTATATCAATTTTGACCACATTTACATAAAGGTCACTATATACAAAAATAAGGTAACTATATCAATTTTGATCACATTTATACAGAGGCCACTATATATAAAAATAACGAAGGACACTATATATAAAAATAAGGTAATTATATCAATTTTGACAACAAGTCAACTGTGTGATTGTATGGCTGTTCGCGAACAAGCTCAGGAGCCATGTACAATGGAGTACCTGAAACAGTCAGATGCATAAAGTGAGCAAAAGTGTTAACAGTAAAATAATTTGTGAATAAAAGACCAACTTCTATAACTCCTTTTCTTTTTGCATTCTTTGGACTTGATGGAGAGTTAACAAGGGTTTTGATAATGTAAAAGAAAATCATCTGAAGAGCATAAACAGAATAAGTCCACAGAAATACAAGAAAAAAGTATATGCATCAACCATAATGAACTTGGAAATTAGATTACTAGCAAAGCAAACAAATCACAAAGCTGACCTTTGATGGAGCGAAGTACAACAGTGTTTATTGACATGGCACGAGCAAATCCAAAATCACAAAGCTGGAGTAAAGATGAAAAAATATAAGATAATGCAAAGTTCAGAAAGGAAATTGGCAATACAATCATTACTGAACATCAAATGTTACCCAATCGCCTAAACAAAAGTGATCACCCCCAGGGTAAAGGGACTAGATGTCTGAAGCCTTGCCCCTATGCTTACAGCTAATAAAATTATGAATTATTTTCAATTGACCTTTAACATGAAATGCAATGACAATAAAAGGCACAAATAATTACTGAGACATTCCAAACAAGTACATTATGAGCAAATAGTAAATCTTTGTCTCCAATTTGGACAACTATGGAGTTATAGTCATATCCATTAGACTATGAAAATATAAATATAAACTATGAAAAGCGCAGAAAATAATGATTCTTCAACAATAAATATAACTATAAACCTATTCATTCACTTCAAGCAGAAATCTGTCAAGCATCATAGGGTACTTCAGTTCTAGTGCTCTCACCTAATTATTAATCTAGCTACTTTCACAAATTGAATATAACAACCAACATCAACTAATGTTCAAAATTCAGCACAAAATATCAACAAAAACCTAAAAATAAGCTTCGAATTGAATCAATCAAGTGGCTTACACGATTCATATATACAATTCTAGTGCTTCATTGATATTAATAAACATTCTAATAAAAAAAATTCAGCAAAATATCTATTACAGAAAAGCTCAAGAATATTATTTAAAATAAGTTATTACAGAGAGGAAGATTGAGAGAAAGACCTTCAAGCATTGCGATGAAGACTTCATCGGCAATTATTTCCGGCAATTGAGGTCGGAGAATTGAGCGTGAATTTGAAGGATATTTTTCTTCAATTTGTTCTTGATCAATCTAGGTTTTGTATTTGCCAAATTTATACTCAAATCGCTCAATTTGACTTGGTTTTATTCAAATTTATAAACAATTTACATTGAAATTCATGCGAAATTCATGAAATCAAATCCGAAAACCGCATAAATCAAATCGCAAAAATCAAATCACAAAATTTCAGAAAGCATAATCAAGCAAAAATAGCGAAATTACTCAAAATAAAAATAAAAATAATAATACGAATAACTCACTTGATAGTAGATCGTAGAGCTAAGAAATTGCTGAAAATCAAAGTAATTGAAGCTGGATTTGAAGAAGTAGCATGAAATTGGCAAAAAGTAGGAGAGAGAAGGTAGAGGAGGAAGAAAATAACGTGCAAATGAAGGAGGAGATAGAAATTGTAGACATTTTGCATGAACATTGGGGGAAAAAATCTCGACCGTAAAATTTGATGGGTCAACAATCGACGGTTAAGATGTCATATTTTTAGTTTTCAGCTTAAGGTTGGTTTTCACATGATTCAACTCCTATATATATATATATATATATATATATATATATATATATATATTAGATTGCTACATGTGCCAATAACAAGTTGTAAAAAAAAAAAAAAAAAAAAAAAGTTGATATTTTCAAACTATACATCAAATCAAATCTTTTTAGTTGGATTTCACATAAATTATTTTAAAAATATTTCATAGAGTTTATTTATCAAAATTATTCTTATTCAAGTTTTATCATGTATACTATTAGCCTAGTTTCTTAAGCTATTACGAATCTTGCATGAGATTCTTTTCCTCCATGTGACTCTACGAGAAGAATTTTCTAATGCAATAAGACTAAATTTCAACAATAAAATATGGTCATTATATTTAATGTCAAATGCAAGATTTCTCAACAAAAAAAAATGTGGTCATAATAGTTATTACGCACTATTAAATAATAAAAATATCTATAAAACACATTATGTGTGCGTAATTTCACATGTAGTGTTCGAATGATATCCGATTTTAGGTAAACCACACAAATAGGCAAGAATTTGAATTTCATCAACCAAGAAATTCCATAGAGAAATACAATTCACAAACAAGTTGATAATAATTATGTGCAAATTGTAGAATCACATTGCTTCAATCATCAAACTAAATCAAATCTTTTGTACAATAGAGTGAATCAAGCAACAACTATTCAAATTGTTCTAAAATCATAAACTATATTATAAATTATTTTGTACAATTTAAAACAACGAAATCTCTTGAACATTATCATAATTTTCACAATTCAATTCCAAGAAATCCAACCTCGCCCATACTATACTAATAATAATCGAAACTATACCAACCAACAACTTGTAAGTTGTGACCGAGCCGTTTCCCTAAAACTTTGAACCTTAACCAAACAATAATGTGTACAAAACACCCCCAAATTACCACACCCAACTCTACTAGTCTTCAACAAGTAACAAGCAACACCCCCATCTTCCCCTTTGCCTTGTATTAACACCCCCCACGCTTTTTCGCAATCCCCATTTTGACCTTCGACTTCTTCGAAAATACCCAAATCGTCCTCTTTCAACTCTTCCACAAGTATGATCCCCTCAGGAGAGGGCTCCTCCCCTTTTACCCATTTACCCTTCAACTCACTCCAATCCTCTGCAACCGCTCTCTCTGTTTTTAATCTACTATCGGGTCCTCCTCCACCGTACACGTGTACGAACAAGGGCGCTTCTCGTAAATTTTTTACAATCTCACCCACTGATTCTCTAATCCAACGGTCAAATTTCTCCGGCTCTCCCCCTCTCATGTGGGACCCACTTTCTTGCCCTCTTACCACCTCCACCGCCGTAACCGCCGCTGTCGAACACTTCGCTGTCATTGTCTTATTCTTTCGTGTCGTGTCGTATCGTGTCGTGTTCGAAACCCGAACTTGATTGTTCAGAGTATGATTCGGTAACTTGTTGACCCAGTCTCCAACTCTGTGCGCCCGAATCGTTATTTCTCCTGCTGAATGGAGACCCAAACAAGCCATCTTTCCAAACAACTCCGACAAAATCAAAAATCAAAAATAAAAAATCCCAGAAAAATTCAAGAAAATACCCAGAAAAAAATCAGCAAGAATCAAATCAGAGTCGGAAAATAATGAGATGGGTAGGGTTAAAATCAAGAAATAAAAAGTGGGTGAATGTTAGATTTTTGATTTGGGTTAGAATTTGAGGAGAGAGAAAAATCCTGGGTTTATATCCGAATTTACTCGTAATAGATAAATAAATAAAAAAATAGATCTGGAAATTGTGAATTTATTTTGGATGGAAGAGTTTGAAGAAAGTTGGGATTGTTGCAAGGCGCGCGCTTTTTGTGTGCCATAATTGCCACGTCATGAAATTAATATTGCCACGTAGGATAATAAGGGAATAATTAATGACAGAATGGCAGGAGAGAGAAAAAAGGGGTGAGAGTGTTAGTGCCACGTAGGATAGGTGACTGGTGGGTTGAGGAGGGCACGTGGTGTTTGTATGTTAAGCGCGCGTAAACTTATGGTGTGACGGATTGGGGCTGAGCCATACGTTGGTTAAACTTGTACGCGGCATTTTGCGTGCGTCAAAAGTTTTAATGAAAAATATTCTTAAAGTTATTTGCGCCGACTATGTTGAATTGTTGACAGCCCAATCATTTGGCCCAAATTTAGCCCAATTGTAATGGACATAGAGTGGAAGTCATATTATTGGCATATAACCATTTTGGTCACATGTTTTCTTCACTTTATTCAAATGCGAAGTAGTATTTAATATAAAGTAGGTTAGATCCCGTGCATGGCATGGTTTTTCACTCTTTATTACGGAGTATAAATTTAAAATCATATTTAAATATAAAAAATAATTTGGTCCAGAATCTATTTCTTATTTTATCTCAAATCAAGGAACTTAAAATATTCTTCTGTATCTTTTATGACTACATATTATAATTTTTTATTCAAGCTTTCTTCTACTTGAACCCTAATGGCATATTTGTTTTATTTCACATTTGATAATTTTTTCATTCACCAATTATGTTAGGTTGAAATATATATAAACATGATTTTTTTACTATAAATAATTATTATTTATGCATTAAAAAGTAATTACTTATATAGAAATTTATATAAAGATATGGTTAGATATCTAAGTTGATTATTTTACGATTTTTTCCAAAATTTTGGAAGAAAATATTTTGCGTATATTCTCTATACTATCAATTATTTTAAAAGTTTTTTTTTCTTACAAAAATATACTAAGGACACACCATAAGATGACACGTGTCATTGCTGGTGTGTCTTTTGGTATATAGTTATTGATTCCAATTTTATAAAATTAAGTTTTTGTGAAAGTCAGTAACTTTAAAGAACAACTGTGATAGAAGATCTGTAAAAATAAATTTTAATAAGTATAAAAATAATTCCAGTTTTATAAACATAATTTTAGCATGACCTAAATAATATTAGAACAAAAGTTTAGATAGGATTAAATAAGTTTTTTTTTTTTTTTTTTCCAAATATTATTATTGTTAATATTACTACTATATAATTTCTAAATTAAAATAATATCTTAAGTCTTCACCATCTATTTTTGATTAGTTAATTGTTGATCATCTAAAGTTCAATATTTTTTTTTTATTACAAGTAATATTTTTTATAACATGTGTAAAATATGAATAAGACTTTTATTTATGGTTTTTTCCTACTCACCGTGTCTTCATAGTATATATTACCTCCGAATACTATTAGTTGCAACATTGGAATATATTATATCTCACAAATAATACCCCAAAGTTGCAACTAAAAATATTCGGAGGTAGTACTTATATCTTGATCTACACATCCTTTTCTAGTTCTTTCCAACCACATTCTCCATTTGTCCTATTCCCTACTCTTGACGAAACTCTATTGTAAATAATATTTATGATTATGGAAAATAAAATTGAATATTCTATTCACTGAGGGTAGTTAAGTTGTTAAGGATAAAAATTAAACTTATAAACTATTAAAAAAAAAACATAATCAGGTTAATCAACAATGATTAGTCATTGTAAAAAAATCATCAGTTGTATAATTACATATAATGTTCACAAAAACTTAAAATATACAATGTTCACGTGAATAACGTGCATTATCGTACCAGTTAACCCGAGTTGAGCATGTATAGAAAACCTACACGAAAATTCATCTAACAAGTGGATGGAGTATTTCGAAACATGTTAAAGTGCCTAATGACTTTTTTTGTGAAGTAAAGTGCCTAATGACTTAAAAATCATCAAGATATCCAAATAAAAAAATTAAATTTTGATGGAAGTGGATTATTCTGAAAATTAAAGAAGAGTCACTCGTCTTGCAGGCATGACAAATTGCTTGACTCATTAAAAAAAGGATCTTGTTGATTTCCAAAAAGGGATATAGCCCTTCAAAAAAAAAAACCTAATATTTAATAGTTGCTTTTAATATTTAGCTTGTTACTCAATATTCAACAGCATAACTTAATTATGTATTTTCACAAAAATTATATACAAATGACTTAATTATGTATACAAGCTTCAAATATGGATGCTAATAATATGGATGCTAATAATATTCAACAAAATAGTACTTGTATTATAATAGTCAATTTCATTTTATGGAACCACATTTTCTGAATCATTCAAATCGGACAGCTCCAATTTTCTATCTGCTAGTCCATTAATGAGACTTTGACTCTTATGTTTTACTTAGGTCCAAATTGAAGTATAATTTTAAATAGAAGTCTATATGTGTGTTTTGTTGTAAGGGTCAACTTTTCACTCTCTTATATTCTGTATCCTACATGTTTATATATTAAGGGCTTGTTCAGTTCACCTTATTTTTACTTATCTGATTGTTTGATTTGACCAAACTTTGATCATATGTGTACGCTAATCTATAAGGAAAAAATTATCAAGTGGGCTCTTGTTAGATTCGTAATAATGTGTATTTTATTAAAAATGTAATTTTTATATTTTTTTTCATTACGAAATTAAAGATATGTAGCGATAAAAAATCGCACATAAAACGATGATCTTTGAATTTTTATTTTTGTTGATCTGAACTTATTTTTTTTGAAATTAGTAAAAATAAGTTGAACTAAACAAGGATTTAGGAGAAACATGTAAAATAAACACAATTTTTTTTTTGTAGCCATAGCAAACGAAATATGAAAGATAATGACATATACAAGTTACAATGTTCTTGAAAAAGATGATAATTTTGAAGTCTAATTTAATTTTCTTTAAATTTTTCAGATTGAATGACAATTAACTTGTAAAAACATTTGCACTTAATACGTCGATCAAAATAGAGAGAATATTATGAATGAAAAATGCTATAAATAGCCCTTAAGGCTACATACAAGCATAAATCGTATAAATTTAGGAAATAATAAGAGTATAAATACTAATTAACTAATTTACGCGTATTTTTGTCATGAATTCCTAATTTTTCCAATTTTCAAAAGTGTATTTAATGCTTATATATAGCTTTTAAGGCTACTTATAACATTACTCATTATGAATTTATGAGCACCAAACTCATGAAAAATGATCTTTCTATTTTCCGTTACACATGGACCCACCACATAAAAATGTCATTAAAGGAGGGCGATATATGGAGCTTAAAATAGAACCAGGCGGGCGGTGGCTCCCACCAAGACCAAGAAAGAAGGACACTTATAAAAATAGCTACACAAATTTATTGACTAGAAATTGAGAACGTAGAGAATAGAGCAACCTCTCTTAAGCTTTACCTACCCACTTTTCCTTTGATCGTTAGCTACCCTTGCATACTTATATTTATAACTCAACTAATTTTCTAACATTCATACACTTTGCAGTTTGCACTACACTTATATCCTCTGTTTTCTCTCTCATTTCTCAGCTCTCTTTAGAAGTTCTTCTTAATTATTCTACTATTATCAGTAAGTAGTTTTATCCTTTTTTAATTTATTAGATTTGTGTATGATTAAGCTGTTTTCATTGATGTTTATGATGTGATTAAGACTATTTATGCATGCCCACATGTATATGTATAACTTGTTCATCATCTATGATATGTTTTTTTTCCTTCTTACTCTTAAGTTATATGACATGTAAAATCGTTAGTTGGTTCATTGTATGAATGTCATGGGTCTCGTGACAACCTCTAGATAAGTGCTCTCTTTGACAGTATCGGATGTAGATGTCGCATAACTTTATTTCAATGATATTTTTTTTTATTCAACATTTAGTTGCATATGATCTTAGGGTTGCATACTTGCATATAACAAGTTTAAAAAAGAATTTTAAGCTAAATCAATCCTTAATTAATTATACCAATCAAAGCTCAAATTTGTCACGTATTATGTCCTAGTAGATTTAAATTAGGCTTAGTTTGTATAGAGATAGTCACCATACCCAACCCAAATTGACATTTGATCGACAAAAAATGAATAAAGGTGGTTGTTAGTACACGAATCACATAATTATGTCAGCTAGCTTAATTGCTTTAATGATAGTGTTAGTAATATTCTTGTGGGTGGTATGTACAAAATTTGGATCAAGTCTTTTCAGGATCACTACCTTTTGTGACTTTCTAAAATACGAATTAGTTGGTACCTTAAGACTAAATTCTAAATACAAGTATGTAGTTATGTGTATGAGAAGGGGAAAAAATGACTAGTGTAAGCAAAGTGTCCTTAACAATATGGCATCAACCAAGCACCTAAAAGGCTAGAACTTGCAATTGCTTATATAAACATCAAACCCTCTTTTTGTGTGATCACTAATTTGGTTTTTACTAATGATGCAGTGGGAAACGATGTAATGGTTGATGATATTGCTTTTGCTCCTGAACTTACATTGACTAAATTGCTACCTTTATTAGGTTATGGTAAGTGATTCTATTTAATCAAGCTTTTCTTTTTTGTAATAAAAAAACTTGATTGCATCATAATTGAAGATATATTTTGAAGAAGATCGAATTATTTCCTAGATGTTTACTACTTAACTAATTGCATTGTTATGGTAAGTCCAAAGTGTACATTAATTAGCTACAAGAAATTCATCGAACCCGGGCCGAGACCCAGGGGACTGAAGGTGCACCTAGTGGTGCAACCTAATTACACTTCACTAAGTAGTTGCATAAACCCACATTGAAAATGAAATGAAAGCATTATATTATCATTTATCAATATGTTAAGATGATGAAATTCTTAATCAAATTTTTTTTTGCATCCGAAAAATAGTTAGTTTCTAAGCAAATGAACATTCTGTTTTGGACAAAACAGGGTGCACAGAACTAGAAATCCACTTTCTGCAAATAAAGTTCACAGCAATTGGAGTCTACATGGAGAAAGAAGTGGTACAACACTTGCAGAAATGGAAGGGTAAATCAGGAAAGGAACTCGCCGAGGAGGATGATTTCTTTGATGCTCTTACCGCAGGTAAATCCCCTCCACCCCTAAGAAAAAGATGTGAAAAAACGGTATCAGAACAAAGTTTTTAACAAATGATTTGTAACTTGACAATTTGAAGCTCTGAAGAATTATAATGCTAATGTAGCTTCTTTGGATGATGTGTGTTTTGTTTACAGCACCTGTGGAAACAGTTATTAAGGCGGTCGTGATCAAGGAGATTAAGGCTTCACAATTAGGCACGCAGCTGGAGGGTGCAGTAAGGGACCGATTGGCAGCTATAGACAAGTATGAAGAAGAGGAAGAAGCCGCGCTTGAGAAGGTTGCAGAGTTTTTTCCTACCAGATACCTTAAGAAAAACTCTTTCTTTACTTTCAGCTTCTTTGCTTCAGGCACTGCTGAGGTATACTTCTTATTTACTTACCTACTGCTCCAATTAGTAATGTTAGTAGCAATTAGTAAATGCTAAATAGTGGTGCAAATATATCTTTTACTAGGAAAGAAAAGGACCTACATTCTGATGTATCACTAAAAAACTCAACTTGATCTACTGTACTAATCTTCATGATCAATCTAATTATTCGAGTTAGAAGTGCTTTTTTGTACCTATATTAATGGCCTTTCGAGATTTTCACTACTATTTGTTCCAGTTTCATTGTGTTGGATTTACGGGTTTGGATCAAATTTATGTTTGTTTAGGGGGTGGGACAGTTTTATGCATGTACGTGAATCTCAATTTTCGATTTGAAGTGCATTCTCAAACTAATTTTTCATGGCTTTTCAAAATTTCAAGTCTATGTTGTTATGTTGATTGGATTTTCTTTAGGCAAGGTATGGGTTTAGCTAATTTTTGATAGGACTACGAGTTTTATTGACACGGAGTTTATTGATGTCAGATCACTATAACGACGGATGAGAAAGAGGAAACGAAGACAGCAGTGGAGAACAAGAATGTGGCGGAGATGATCAAGAAGTGGTATCTAGGAGGAAGCAGGTCAGTGAGTCCTTCAACCATAGAGTGCTTGGCTAACAACCTCTCAGCCGAGTTATCCAAATGAATGTAACGCAAATGGGTGTAGACTCTTGTGATCATGTTGTGCACTTGTGCCTTATTAACTTTGTGCTGTTTAGCAACTGGTGGAAACTAATGTGTGATTTGGTGGGATTTCTTTTGATTCATTAAGTTTCATGTACTAATAATTAATGTTCTCGTTGGTAATAATAGCTCTTGCAAAACTCTCATGATCTTTCGTTTTGGGGTCATCTTTTAAGCCACCACTCTAGGCATTATTGGATTTGCATCGGTTATACACCAAAGAAATTGACATTAGTCGCAAGTAATCCGAGATGAATATGATGGTGTAGAGAGTTAATACCTGTTTAACGTAACAAAACTGACCTATATATGATTATATAAACAAAATTGATAAACTGTACAAAATTTTCAGATTCAGACTCAAACTACATGCAAAAGTATATTAACTCAACCCAATTATGGCCCAAATAGAAAAGGATCTCACCTATTGATCCAGCCCAAATAATTAATACTACTAGTATGATTAACATTGGAAGTAACATCATTGAAAACCAATAATTACTTGTACCAAACAGAATTGAAAAAGACTAAACACCCATTGTATGACCCAAACCAAATCAACCCAACAAAGCCAATAATCCGAACGATGTATATGCCACATCTAGTCATAGACTCGTAGTACATCTAATACTTAGAACGAAATAAAAGTGTATGCAACTAGCTTTGCCACATTTAATCATAGACTCGTAGTACATCTAATATTAAGAATGAAATAAGAGTGTATGCAACTAGCTTTGTATTGTCTCATTTAAAAAATGGCACTCGTATATACATGTATTATGAATTTACACATACAAAGTACATTGGTGTTATATTACAACATAATTACAAATCTACAGAATGGCTTCTTTTTTTTTTGGGGGTGCTTCAAAGTACATTGACATGGATGTTTCTCACAACTTTAGTTCATCTCATTCATCAATCATCTTCATAACAACCACACAGTTTATTCTCTAGTGCCTTTGCGTAGCATCTTCAACACCACGTACCTCATGATTCGAGGAATCCGTACGATTCCCAATTTCCATAGGCACCACAATGGCATCGTTTCCCGTCCATTCCGATAGTGATTGCCGGCATGTAGGGCAAGTCGAGTGCGAAAGCAACCATGTATCAATACACTTACTATGATACCCATGTTTGCATTTTGGTAACACTTTTATGTTCTCCCCTTCTATGAACTCCCCTAGACATATCATGCAATCCGTGGACATAACACTTGTTGCTGTATGATATATTGTTGTTGGGATTTGCCTTATGGTGCTCCTCTTTAGCCCTTGACTAATCGCCCCCACGTACGTGTTACCTAGGTCTTGCCGGTTGTGGTTGTGCCGGAGGTGGTGGTGGTGGTGTTGGCCGGTGCAACAACGGATGGCACACCGGACAAGTGAGTTTAAGCCTAGAGCACATAATAAGGCAAAAAGTAACACTCCTAGGATGACCACCATGTTAGCATCTATACCGACATAATTAGCTCTTGTGACATGGGCCTCGTTGCTATGCGGTGAGGTTGCGGTGGGTGGCGGTGATACTTCATGGAGGAGGTGGCGGTGAGGCGGCCGAGGCCACACCATTGCTAGCTCTTGTGCTACTTCTACGCTACTTGATGATTATCTAGGACAAAGTGTGTATATGTGTAGTGTAGGAGACTACTGATATGATTGTCAAATCTAAATTGAGTGAAGTGAAATAAAGAAGAGAATAGTATTTGTGGAAAATCGGATGATTTATGAGGAAAATCATGAGAAGACAATTCATTCATTCCACACTTGTAGATTGCTTCAAACTTGGGAGGAAATTATAGATAGAAATTTCTAAGAAAATATTTCTTTTATGATTTTTGGGGGCAATTTCTAGGAAGGTGTAATATGGTATGTTGTTAATCCACTAAAAGTGGTAGTGACATCGCAAGGAGGGTCGTATCAAGTAATATAAAGGCACCAATGTCTTGTCATGAGATTCTAACTTGATAACTACGATTAGCATTAAGAATATCACTTAATTAAATTTTGGCAAAGCGATTCTTTGTTAATTAGTAGGCAAATTCAAGACTGGTTTTGGTTCTTCGGGATAGAGTTTCTCATTATCCTCCTTTCCTCAACACTCTCAAAAGGCATGGACCGCTAAGACTGAAATAAGTGTATTTTACATAACTCTTATAGAGTTGGGAACAATTGTGTGGCTCAACTTGCTAAACAGGTTTAACAATTGTGTAGCTCACTTGTTGCACGGGCTTAGCAATTGAATGACAATTATGAACTTTTGATAAGGAGATGAGTGTGGCTTGTTTCATGAGGCAAATGATGTTCATATTATTATTATTATTATTATTATTATTATTATTATTATTATTATTATTATTATTATTATTATTATTATTATTATTATTATTATTATTATTATTATTATTATTATTATTATTATTATTATTATTATTATTGTTGTTGTTGTTGTTGTTTGGGTCCAATTCAGTCAATTTAATTGGGCCAATTCAAATGATTTAATTTCAAAAGCCCAAAAGAAGGTTTAACTCTCCAAAGCATGCTAAAGTCAATCAAGCCCAGTCAGTATGGCAAGCCCATCTGACTTCAGGGCCCAGTCCTCATATTTTGAGGAAAGGTATAAAAGCCATCAATTGTCTCATTTATCATTCATTCACGAATATACACATTAAGCTTCAAACAATTAATTCTCTTGCATAGCTTATTCCCTCTACAAATTGAACTGATTTTAACATTGGAGGGACCTTCCTCGGCAACCATCCCCGAGGCTAGTTTACGCATGTTTTGTTGTGCAGGAAATCCTCGGCCCATCCATCAATTAGTCCGAGATCAGTCTTCTCCCTTGAAAAGGGCCTGCCGAAGGTCATATTGTTTTCATACCGAAACAATTTGGCGCCGTCTGTGGGGAAGATACACAAAATTAAGCCAAAAATCCGACCCATCTTAGTAGAAACATGACTAAGAGCGGTAAAAGCGCCAAGAGTGCTAAGAAGAACGGTCCTTCCTCTTCGAGGAGAGACCTAATTACGGTGAGAAGGAACCCATCACCGGAACCTTCTTCTCCTTCTTCTTCTAAAGCTCCCTCTTCCCCGGAAAGGGCAGCATCGGAGAAGTCACCGTCCCATCATACTCGCCAACCGACAAGTTCGTCTCGGCCAAGAGGATAATGGATGGGCTCTTTCCTTCAAGGAGATCGGGGACAAGTATGAGGAGGACACTTGGAGGACCGAGCGGGAAAGGAAAAGGAACCCCCAGTTCTTTGACAATTCAAAAACCCAGGACTCCAAGAGTTACAAAAGCAGCAATTCCACCTCCGCGTGGTAAGAGCCCGCTCGCCTAAACGTTCATGAACGCCTAGGCCCAAGGGAGATGAGCGTGCATAGTCGCCTTACCTACCCGGAGGGAACCGAGCCGTACCCCGAATCGTCTCATCCGAGGATGAAAACCACTTCAACCTCTCCAAGAGGGAGGAGCGAGGTCTTAACGGCTATACGTAAGGGAAGGCCGTAATGGTTCCTACCAGCTCACCCTTCCAAAGCTGGATATTGGAAGAGCATGTGCCGACGGTGAAAATCCCGGCGCACATCACTTACGACGGTACTTCGGACCCGAAGGACCACATCGCCTCTTACGAGGGGCACATGTACCTTAACCCCAGGTATGAGGCTATTTGGTGTAAATATTTTCCAACCACTCTCAAAGGTGTTGCACAAGCGTGGATCACCAAGAGAGTGAAAGAAGGCTCAATAACCGGTTGGAAGGATCTTTCCAACAAATTCAAGAGCAAGTTTTCTATGGCAAATCGCTGAGAGAAAACAACTGCAGAACTGATGGGTCTGCAGCAAGCGGAGGATGAAAGCCTCCGAGACTTCTGATTCGCTTCAGCAACGAGTCGTCTAGAATTACAAGTCTGGATCAAGGCCTAGCCGTGTTTGTACTACAGAATGGCTTACAAGCTGGAAAGTTCCTTGACTTCATGGTCATGTATCCCCCGCAGACCTTAGAGGAAGCTTTGGACGCCTCGGATAAATACATCTGAGCTGAAGAATGGAACAAGACAAAATCCCAGTCCCAGGGAAAGTAAAGGGACAACTGTCCGAAGGCCAAGGGCCGAGGAAAGGGAAGGCGAAAGCCTCAAAACCGTCCTCGGCACATGAGCCGAAGAAAGATAAGACCCCCTATACGGGGAGATATGATACTTACACCCCTCTCGCTCTTTCTCGTGCTAAAATCTATAGCACAACCAAAGACGAGGGGAGGTTCAAGAAACCAAGGCCACTCCCACTGTGGCATCAACAAAAGGGCAAGGACCGATGGTGCGAGTTCCATGAATCTACTGGACATCGCACTGAGGACTGCCTCTAGCTGAAAGATCAGATCGAGGACATGGTCCGAAAGGGCTACTTGAAAAAGTATCTCGCGGACCGTCGCGAAGAAAAAAGAGCCGAAAAGGATCCTCGACAAGATCTTGATTTCTCTCGGAAAAAGGACAAGCCGCCAGGTAAAGAGACTCTTGATATCCTTGCCATTTCCGGAGGAGCCTTTCGGAATGCATTAAAACGCCACTTAAGGGGCTTGACCCATCAAGTGAATCATCAGACATCCGAGCGCCTCAGTCTCCGATCCGGTGCCAAACATTCTATTCATAGCCGAAGACTGCCAGGGGGTGGTGTACCCCCATGATGACCCGTTGGTAATTGTGACGGGCATTGCAAACCACAACGTCTGGCGAACTCTCGTCGACGGTGGTAGCGGGGCGAATATCCTCTTTCGGGGAGAATTCGACCAGCTAAAGTTGGAGACCAAGCATCTGACCCCAGTTTCCTTCCCAATATCTGGATTCAATGGTTCTTCATCGTATCCCGATGGGAAGATCCTTGTACTTGTCACCATCGACAAAGGCCGAACAACCCGAAACATCATGGCCGAATTCTTGGTCATAGATGTTCCCTCTGTGTACAACGTGATCATGGGGAGACAACTCATTCACGATATCCAAGGAGTTGTCTCAACGTACCATCAAACAATGATCTATGTTTCGGACGAAGGACACTCCGAAAAAATTCAGGGCAGCCAAAAGGAGGCCCGAAGATGCAACCACCTCAAACCATCCAAAACTCACCGCGACGACCAGGATGATGAGGAGGAAAAAGAAAAGGACCGATGCACAAAAAGGCCCAAAGGCTTAAGTGCTTCGGCCTAAGGCTTAAGAGAAAAATCTTTGGGGAAGGAAAAGGCTGATTTCTCATCTGAGCCGAAAGACTCGAAATATCAGCCAAAGTCTGGGAAGCCTGCTGATATTGGCAGCAGGCCAGATCGAGAAGAGTCCAGTGCCAAAGCCATGGAGCCGGACAATCAGATTGAGTCAATAGAGTTGACCGAAGGGAATTCTGAAAAATGTGTCAGCATTGGACTGGGACTTAATCCAAATGTTTGTGTTGAACTAATTCAACTCCATCGGGACAACAAATATGTGTTCTCTTTCTTGGCAGCAGACATACTCGGGATTAATCCAAACCCCATCTCTCATAAGCTTAATGTCGACCCTACATCTCTCAAATAGTGGTCTTAACTAATCAGCCGCTGGAAAAAGTCCTCGGCAAAGTAGAGAAATCTGGTAGACTAGCAGAGTGGGCTCTCGAGCTCACTTAGTTCAGTATCAGCTATCATCCGAGGGAAGCTATCAAGGCTCAGGCCTTAGCAGACTTCGTAGCCGAGTGTTCTTATCAAGAGACACTTGACGAGAAAAAGAAAATCTGGACCGTTTTCACGGATGGATCCTCCATCGTGAATGGTTCGGGGGCAGGGTCGTCATAACCTTTCTAGAAGGCAAATCCTTTGAATATGCATTAAAATTCTCATTCAAGGCTTCAAACAACGAAGCTGAATATGAAGCAGCAATTGCTGGTCTAGAGCTGTGCGTAGCATTGGACGCCGAGCATGTCTGTTTAAAGACAGACTCTTAACTTGTCGCAAATCAAATCCGAGGTGAATATGAGGCCAAAGCCCTCAATGATTGCCTACCTCGCAAAGATCAAAACTGTCATTGCGAAGCTGAGAACTTTTGAAGTCGAGCTGATCTCAAGGGGTCAGAACGCACAAGCCGACGCACTATCCAAACTTGCAAGTTCAACTCTAACCGAGCTAGACCGATCTGTATATGTGGAAGTGCGCCGAGAAAAAAGTGTGGACTAAGAACCTGAGGTTTGCTGCACCACACACGAGCCGAGCTGGATGAACCCCATCCTAGCTTACAAACTTCGGGGAGAAACTCCCGAAGACAGGAACTTAGCCTCTAAGATGAAGAGAATCAGCTCAAGGTTCATCATCTTTAGAGGGGAGCTCCTGAAAAAGTCCTTCTCAGCCCCACTATTGAAATGCGTGGGTCCAACTGATGCTGATTACATCCTTCGGGAAATTCATCTCGGCATCTGTGGAAACCACATAGGGGGAAGAACCTTAGCCCATAAAGCGCTAAGGGCCGGATATTATTGGCCAACCATGATCGCAGATGCTAAGGAGCTGGTCTGAAAATGCGAAAAATGTCAAAAGTTCGCACCCGTCATCCATCGGCCATCGCGAGATCTTCAGCCAATCCTGAATCCTCTTCCGTTTGCTCAATGGGGACTGGAAATTTTGGGACCATTTCCCGATGCTCCATACCAAAAGAGATGGCTGATAGTCGGCATAGACTATTTAAGCAAATTGATCGAAGCCGAAGCAGCTTCGAGCATTACATAGCAAACTGTCAGAAGATTTATCTAGTAGAACATTATCACTCGCTTCGGGATCCCGAAGGTTTTTGTCTTCGATCATGGGAGGCAATTTGATAACTTGCCGCTGAAGCGGTACACGGATCAGTTCGACATTAAATTGGCAT